CATCTCCCAAACCCCGACTGTCGGTTCTCGGTATTTTTTTCACTCGACGTCGGGGTTCTGGCTGTTTGGCGTTACAGATCGGTGTTGCCACTTAGCATCTCGTTCCACTACGTTTCTTTTATTTCCCTTGATCCCCGAGTTTCCTTGCTGCCGCTCGGGACCCCTTCGGCATCCAGCATCTCGATTTCCCTTGATTGGTTTACAAGGATTGCAAGGCTCTGTTTGCCTTTCTTGCCGCGAGGTGAATCTTGATGCTGTGCAGTGAGGGGTCACATGGGATACGCCATGAGAGATGCGGGCAGCGTTGGGGCAGGCACCAAAAAGACATGAGGGTTGGGTTGACATGACGAAGGCGGTAACCTCGTTGGGCACGGGCTCGTGCTGTGGATTCAGTTGAAGAGCTGACGCCATGCGAAAGGCTTGTGTGGGTTCGAGCTTGTGTGGCACCGTGGGCCAAAATCATTTCTCTTTCGTTTTTATTTTATTTACTTCTCTCTCCCATGGGTGGCGGGGTTGCGATGCTTGAGAAGTCGGCCCCAAAGAAGGGGCTATGGGTGATTCTGGCGCGGGAGGGGGTTTCAGCACGAGAGCATGATATCTCACGGCTGGGCAGGCACGTCTTTTTGTTTTCTGTAATGGACTTGACGATTTTTCTCACCTCGAGAATCAATGGGGACCAGACACGCGCGAACTTCGTTTTTCATCTCTCGTAGGAACTCGGCTCGATACCCCCTGGCCCTGGCAAATCAACCACAAAAGAAAAAAAACCATATTCACACGCACATGTTCACGTATCGGGAAACATCTCCCTCGGCAACCCAATCCCAACTTGCTTTGGGAATCGGAGAACAGATGGGGAAATGTTTACGGACCGGCTGCATGAGAAGACGAGGAGATGAAGAGAGAGCCAGCTTTGTATCATAGTATATCCGCGCGCGCTTCCGGTTTATCGTTTTTCATGTCTCTTTTTTTCTTATTCTTATATAACTGCTACTACTAGACCAGTCAGAGCTTGACCAATGCTAATCTTTCACAACCCTTTCTACCATACGCGTCACGTGTGCTCGTAACGGAACCCGCGCCTCTCTACACTCCACCGTCCCCCCTGAGAGCACATGCCGTACGTCTTTCAGGCCGCAGGCCATTGGGATTAGGCTTTGCTCGATGCTTACAGATGAGAGAGAGAGACTGGGTTTGAACACATGTCCCTTTTCGGCCGCTCGCCCGTCGACCCACCCCCCCATGTCCGTTTGCGGACGGAAGTGTCAAGGTCTGTCCCGTGCTGTCTGCCTGTCCGCCACCTGGTGTGCTGCCGACGTGCATTCCGTCACGGTCGACATGACAAGTGACTGAACCTAAAGAGAATGCGAGACACTCTGTCCATCCCCCCCCCCCCCCCTTGCCCCTTTCTTCCCTCTTCTCTCTCCTCCCATCATTAGGTGGCTCGCCCGAGCTTCGTGATTATCAATTCAAAATAAAGCCCGTGTTGGTTTCGCCAAGGGCGTTCGTCGTTTTTCTGTCCGGGGGGCCCGTCTGGTCCCGTACGCAGGCGGACTGCTATGGCCCTTTTTCTCTCCTGGGGGTTTCCCGATTGGGGATTCCAAACCCTGGCGGCGGGCGCGCGTTGCGCGCCCGCCAACCCGGTCGGGTCCTAGGTGGTTCTCGTAGGCGCTACGGGCGAGAGGCGCGAACGAGGATTGCGATCTCGGAGGTCGGAGGTGTGGAGGGAAGGACCGCGACCACGAGGTTTAGTTGGGAATGCGCGCCCCCTGGAGAGACAGAACGAGGTTGAATGGGGATGTGTGCGTGTGCGTGTGTGTGTGTATGTGCGTGGTTCTGGACCAAACGTTGTGATCTTCGCTTTTGTTTCTACGTCGCAGACTTTCGAGAGACCGGAGATCGGGATGCAAGGGAGGGGAGGCCAGGGGACGGGCAAACGATTCGAATGCTGCTTTTGGCCGTCTGCCAGGCTGTGATTCGGCGAGTGCGTGGCCCGCCCGTGCCCCGGCCGGCGCAACGTCACCGGCTGGAGGTGGGCGCTGATTGACAGTGGTAGTGGGACCCTTTCCCATCGGGTTGCCTGCCCTGCCAGGCTGCTGCCGGCAGGCACAGTCAGTGTCTGAGACGCACGTCCGCACGGCGGGCTTCGGCGACGGCGCCGGTAGCGGGGTCCAGCGGGGGGGGGAAGGTGGCGCTGGGAGGGGGTGGGAGGCTGCCAGCCCGACAAGGCGTAGTGCGAGGACGGGAAGACGGGGAAACACCAAGCCTGCCTCGTCCTCCGTCGGCCGTCTTGCAAATGCGAAAGGCCGGATCGTAGGAAAAAGAGACGGCACTCGTCTTGGGAAACGGAGGTCGGTGGAGAACAATGCCCGCCCTCCGATGCGTCACATGCATTTCGTTGCACTTCGTCCCGTGTATTTTTATTTTATTTTAGGGAGGAGGGGGTTGGAAATCTTTCGCGGGATGTCAATAGATTTAGAAGCCGTTTCCGTTTGTTTCCATTTTCGTGGAAGTCTGTTGCTGATGGCGGGGGAGGTCCTGTCTGGATTCGGACATGATGCAGGGACAGCTGGTTGCCTGTTTGGGCCTGGTCGCCTTGGATGGGATCCACGGCGCCGGCCTCCGCGATGGAATTCCATGTCCAGATCAATGGCCTGAGAGGATCGAGTTGATACAAGCGTTTGGGCTTCTTTGGATGGCCGTCTCGTTCGGATACCCAAGGCGAACACCTGCGTCGTCCTTCTAGATGGACCATTAATCAGTCACGTCCGAAGCAACACGCAGGGTTACATGCTGGGTAGGATTGGACATGACCGTAGTGGCTGGTGTCTGTGGCCCCGCAGACAAGGATGCCCACGAAAGAGGTTGGCTTTGAGTTACAGAGCTGGCAGCCATCGGACCCAGACAAAGTGTTTCTTGCCGAGTCCCGATGTTTTCTCTCGACGACCGGTTACGGCGCTACGAGTCGTTGTCCTGCAAAGCTCTGGCCCGCCGCTAGCCTGTGTCGAGTAACGAGATGACAACGTGATAACCGTCTCTACGGGTCAAAACGTATAGTTTACTTGTGTTTGATAGAATAATCAAGAAGAGCGAGCGGTGCCTCGGATGTCTTCGTGACCTCCGGAGGTCGTCGGACTCTGCGTATCATGTGCTGCGTCGTCAGATGTTTAACAGCGACGCCCAGGACGTCGTCTTCCACCTAGGTTTTGCGCTCGTAGATCTTGGCCCAGCCATTAAGTCTCACGCCTAGTTCCCTGTCTTTCCGGACATTTGGCAACTCTACATCGTCCTAATTCTTCTCCCGGGAAGCGGACAGAGGCCAGCCAGGGCCCACAAATTCCCGAGGTCCGGAGATCACAGCTATGTATCGCACAGTGCTCGGAGTTGAGTATTCGTTAAGCTAGCCGACGACTCTTTGATTGGGATTGGAAAGATAGCCATGATCTGATAACAAGATGAAAGTCCAACACAGCCACCATATCCACATCGTCTGTTGTCGTCCTCACATCAGATCTCCACCCGATTGGAGGACAGCGGTATAGGTGCATCGACAGCCAGGGTTTGGCCTACCTCGCCGTGCCGGTGGCTTCAACGGCTACGCGTCAGATACGTGGATGTGCTTCGATCCTGGAGCCGGCGCTGTAGATTGCGTCCTGGTTGCCCCGTCGATCCCTGGCATCGCTGCTAACAACGTCGACAACCGCACGGCAACGTAGTGGCTGGCTTGCTATTCATGGCCTGCAGCGCAGAAACAGATGGTTTAGCTGCAGCACCGGTACCCTTTCGCCTTCCCACGTGGATCTTGCCGTCATGCTTCGTGCCGTGGTAGATGGGCCAGCAAAGCAATCTGATTGGAGAGGGGTATCGGAGTAATGAAACCTCTGGGACATCGTGAAAAGAGCAGTTCAGATGAAACGGGCAGAAATAACCTTTCTGGGAATGCTGCCCTTGGAAAGTGCGGACTCGGACAGCTGCTTTCACGATTCTAGCGCTCGAAGCCCTGCTGGACGACATTTTTACTTCCAGGAAGGCGGCTCAGGGTTGACAGGGTCCCGTAGGGAGGGTACTTGTTCGAGGACGGTCGCAACGTAACCGTACTCGTGAGCCTGTTGAGTATGGGATTGGGCGTGCGACCGGCGGCAGCGAGCACCACTCCTCCCCAAGTAAGTAGTAAGTTGTTTATCCTGACGCCTAGCGTTAATCATATCGTTCGTCCTGGGTTGTTGTCTCTTGCCATTGTACACGTCTGTGCGGTGCGGCGCAGTACGGAGAACGCAGTCGTGGCCATTGCGCGACGACGGAGTAGCCCGGGCTGCATACAGGCTTATTGGGACCTCTTCGCTGGCGGTCCCCTACGAGCCAAGGAGTTTTCCGAAATGCGGCTCAAACATGAAATGGTTCAACACCGATCCATGTGGCGAGGCAAGACAGAACCTAGAGACGGATGGGTCTGGAGAGGTAGCATTGATTGGCCCTGATACGTCTTACCTCGGTGTAGGGGAGCGAAGGGGCGGGTTGAGGGGGTTTGAGAAGGTTTTCAGCACGGGCCAGGTGGCGGCGCTCGGCAGCCATGTACTTATACCAACTTCACTATCACGGGCGTCTCCGCCATTACGACAAGAGCAACCCCCATCTTGGGAACCAGAAGTCGCGACAGCTTCATTATCGTCCCAGCTTCGGGCTCAGCAGCCGTCCGCCAGTATAGAGAGTGTACACAAGTGCCGCGTGCAGCACCAACACAGCGAACGTGATACCCAGCCGGCAGCAACCTGGTCAAAATGTTCCAACTGAGGCCCAAAAATATAAAAATAAAAATAAAAAGGTTACGTATCGAAGGCTCCGATCAATTCCATCGTGTCTGTTTTCTCGTGGTCGCGTTCATGTCCGTCTCCTCGTCCCCGTAAAACCACCGGCGTGAAAACAGGGTTCAATCGTGAAAATCAGGAGAAAGTAAATTGAATTCTCGAGGTTGTCTTCCTGGCCCCAGACCTGATTAAACCCTAGTGCTCGCCCAAGGTAGCAAAGCGGCCAACAGCGAGACTGCCCAAGAAGACGCCACCCAGAACCGAGAGCAGGTAGCCAACGTTCATGGTCATGACAGCCAACATTCTATGCCCATTGTCAGTATGATTATCCATGGGGGTGCGAAGGGGTCCACGTACAGCAAATAGCCGACACCAGCAATAGCAGTATCAATCAAGGCCCGGATGGGATCGACCGACAACCTCCATGGCCTCCAAATGCCGTGCTGCTTCTGGACGACGGTAACATTCTCCTCGACGCCGTTCTCCGAGAGCACCATCTGTTTCGCCATGCTGTCCGACGACATCTGCCCGGCCATGCCCATCTTTCCGTTGACGCTGATGTAGCGACGCTTGAAGTCCTTGTCCAGCCATCGCTTCTCTTGGATGGACTTCAGCGCCAACATGCTGCGCAGGCCGAAGGCGAGGAAGATGAGGAAGATGCAGGTGGCGGCGTAGGTGCCAACGCTATTCGGGGTCCACGCCTCGGTGTACAGAGGAGTGTTCATGTTGTTTTGGAAGATGGTCATCATCATCATGGTCATACTGCTCGAGCTCGTGCTGCCGTTCATCGAGCCGGATCCCATATCCATTCCCGGCATGGCATCGGAGGCGGTTGCCGTGCCCGTCGCGCTGTGGTCCTCGTCACCATGCCTAGCCATAAGAAAGCTGTCCATCGCGGCGGTGTCGTGGGTGTAGCTGTCGACGCTGACGACGCTGTCGTAGAGGGAAATGGAAAAGAAATTCGCGTGCTAAGGGAGTGACGATGCGAAATTAATGCTCAAACCAGGCTCCAGTCCCGGCTGTCGAGTCAGTTATTACTTCAAGTTTGAGAGTGAGAGAGCGTGCTGGTCCTTCAGATGGAAGAGCGCCAAGATGAAGAGGACAAGGCGGCGAGGGCGCTATTATACAGTGGTAGTGAGAAGGATTGCGTGCAATCTTCAGACGCTTCGGGCAAGGAGGGCGTTACGAATTCGTTTGCGCGATACCACGTCGAAACAAGAGCATGTTCTGCATGAACGGCAAGTGAGTTGCTCCTGCCAAGATGTAGGAGACGGGCAGCGGTGACCTTTTGTTGCCCCGTGCCAACCGGACGACGAAGCCTGGATGGCCCCTGGTGTGGCACCCGGTTCTGAACTCAAGCCTAAAATGCCGTTAGCAGCCGTGTGCGGTGTTGCACACTTCGTGCTGATAAGGCCATGCGGGTGTGCTGCTACTGCCCCTCGAAGGACGCTCCCTGAGAAACATGCGCATTGTGGAGTATGCGACGACGCCAAGAACGGATAGTACGCGGGGTGGCCTTTTTGGCTCCTTCTTACTGGTCCACTCCCTTGCTTGGCTTCGCTGGCGCAGGACGAGAAGGAAGTACCGTTACCTACCGCCACTAACAATTTCCTACCCGAGTGACTCGCAGTCAACCTTCCATCCGTTCTTGTCTCAAACAAACTGCTCATATTGTTACGACATCGGCCGCTTTCCTATTCTGCACAATTTTTACTGTATTTGCCGTCGGCCCCATCCTTGAACGAATCGAATAACGAGACGAAAACGAGTTACAGTCGTTGGGCTGAACGTTATCGCCATTTGCCTACAGTCAAGGTTTGTTTGCATTCCAACTCTATCCTTCGACATAAAGTCATCAATGCCAGAGATTAGCAGCTCTTCTGCCCTACGACCATCAGCATTTGACCATCAAAAAAACAACAACATGGACATGTACTAACAGAGTCGGCAAGCCAGATCAACCCCGTGTCTGGTACCAAAACACGGATCTTGGAAGCGAGCATGGGATCGTGAGCCTGATTGGGACTCAGCCAGCTAGACAGCTCTTGATGCTTGGCTTGGCACAACAGGGAACTATGTGCCAGTCAACCCTGCCCCCGTTCGAAACGACTCCTGCGACTACTTTTCTTTAATGGAGGCGCACGTTGCGGCCTCATGCACCGCTAACAATCCCAAAGTCTGTCTGGTCTTTCGAACATTCGTCCGATATCGAACATGGCCTGAGCTATTCCCGGCTGCCCTGCCGCCTCAGGAAGAGTCTCATTCAGCAGACCCTCCCCGAGCCCGCCAATCGCAATCATATTTACTGCCTCCTTTTCCAAGATTATGGCTGATCCACCGATAAACGAGCATGTTTTGGCGTGCAACCTGCGCATCATCGCCTGACACTTCGTCACGCCCCACTCTCCGCGTGCAACTCCCACTCCCACTCCTCGCATGAGACGCTGCTCCTGAGCTCCAGCGAACGAGTCCAGTGGCCTGGAGTTGTTCGGCCGAATAATCAAAGTCTCGCTGTACGCCGCGATGACGTTTATTATAAGCGCTGTTGAAGTCTCGGATGGTCAATGCATTTTGTCCCGTGCGACTTTAAGCATCGGAGGACATACCACCACTGCTAGGAGCCGAGATAAAGCTTTGCTTTTATCAATCGCCAAATCTGGAAAGTGCATATTCGCAACCACTGATTATCTCTAGCTAAGCAGTAGCTTCGGGTCGCCAGGATGATTCTCATGTGTCTCTGTTCCTGATCTGAGTTGTTGACTACTCACTATTCTATGGCAGATAATTTTCCAAAGTGCGTGAGCAGTTGGTGCTTCATCAACTCGGCAGTTTGGAAATCGAACATGAATCAAGCACTGCCGGAGATACAATAGATCTTAAATCACTTCGGCATCAGTACCTTCCACCAAAGTTTTCTCACGATTGCTAAGCTAATCTCTCAGAGCTGTGTCGTTCTGCGGGACGAGCGCACGGAAGACGACAAGTCAAGACCTCTGCTAGCTGTTAAATCGGCAGATGCCTACCAGAATAGTGTCCTTCCGGACTCAGACTTCGAACCTTCGTATCTTTGGAGAGGATGTAGTAAAGTTAATTTTGGCAAACTAGCCCTCAGCCCACCGACTCGTTAGCTCAGGCAGGGTTACACTTGAATAGAATGCAACACCAACATCCTAGAACACGGGGCAACCCCCATGTAAGGAGCAGAAAAGAGAAAAGAGAACCCGCTTGAGATACCGGAACTGAAACTTGATAGAATCAGGCTGGATGGCGATTTGCTGCTTCAGTTTACGAAAGACGAGTCGATAACGAAACAAAGATTTAGTGCACCAACGTTGTCTGGACTAATGACCACGTCGACAGGCTGTGCGGCCGCAACAGCCTACTCGAACATGTCTCCTTTTCCCGTCTCGCGAAACCTCATGAATCGACACGACCAGCGAGGATGCGACATCCGCTGCACCCGATCTTCGTATTAAGAGGCGTGCAAGATCCGACTCCGGCCATGTCGAGCGAAACCTTCCTGCTGAATTGCCAACGAGACGGGGCATTCAAGTCCTTTTCCCGAGTAGGACGTTGGGTAAAGCCTCGCTCGCGCGGTTCGACAAATAGGAAGAGCGGGGTTTTGTCCCAGACAGGTTTGAATTCAGAATGTAACTTCGTACACGATCGGGATTGTCGCTACGCACGACTGCCGAACTCCATATTGCAGGGGTGCCCAGCAATTCCTAATCCGATCGAACACTATTGGCGATTAATAGGTGCCTGGACAATCCTTACCTGCTTTTCCTGGTGATTCTCTAGCGGAACTGCATCAATCTGCGCTTGGGATCTTTTCGACCGGAGAAGCTGTCGTTTTACGGTGTTCTGCAGCCTTCCGCGAGATGCATGACTGTCGCCCTGGGCGCTGAGGTCTGCTCTACCCACTGTCGTCGCCTCCGTCGCCTCCGTCTCTTTCGACATCAGGTTGTTCCGCCCAGTCGCAATTCACTTTGGTCGGGTTAATTTGTCATGGAGACCGATCTGCACCAAGCCGCAGCATTATCCACGGCGGATGGATGGTCGAAGCCACAGTTTTAGTCGGGGGTGGGACCCATCTGCACCCAACCTAAACCGTGGGGCCGGGATCAAGGGATGGTGGACGACGCAGATTGCCGAGTCTATTTTAACGACTTGCAACGGATGCCCTTGTCCCTTGTCTCTTGATGCCCACCTATTCCCAACCTGATCAGGTGACCAGCTCGAGGACGACGTCCTTTAGAGATGGATTTCTCGACGCCTACCCCTGCTAGCCTGCATATACCGAGTTCCTGATCGACGTTCAACGGTACCCTTGGATCCTCGGTGATAGTGCCATGACGATAATCATACTGCGAGCTGACCGACACTCTATAGATATACGATGTAATCGTCAAAATGCTCGAGCCAAGTGATATTTCGGATCATCGGATTTGTCGCCCGAATCAGCGTTCGCCCGGCACTCAGTCTGAAGCTTATGGACTCACCCTCGGCTGCATGTGCAATGCATGTAGGCTCCACATTGTTTATTTACCGTCGTGAAGAACCACTTGATGGGGCGTGGAGACTATCTTCAAACCGACGCTCCCTGTCCACTTTTAACTAAGTCAACGTGCATATCAAGACCGAAGTCAATGATTGACGTACATCAACGGCCTGGGCCATCGGGATGATCCATGGGCGGGAAAGAGTCCATTTGCTGGGTGTCGTGTAACACAAGCGGTAATCTTGCAGAGAGCGCCGTCCATTTCCACGAATCGGTCTCAGTTCACCAACAGGGGGGTATCTGCACCGAAAAGAGAAAACCCGTATGACCTGTTCACGAGCGGATCGTCTGTATTGTATTGGGGCGTTGGGCTGATCGGAGAAGGGGACGTCGAAAGTCCAAGGCCACTTGTCTTCCGATAAGATGACACACAGTACTTGATCCAGAAACCTTCAACAAAACACCCGCCTTCACTATGAGCACTTGGACAGATAAGAACAGCAACCGGGCAGGGTCAGTCTGCGCGGCGTGCATAACCGGGAAGGCGTCGAGTTGCTGTAAGCTTTGTAAGGGTGCCGGACTACTGGCTTAGCATGTCATCTCGACAAAAAAGGCCACCTCGTTCGTCAGCATGGAATAGAATGGCCCGCACAAGGGTTCACAACTGTTTCTATGGCTGAACTATGGGTCAATGAAACAGCCAGCCAGTACCACCGATGCGACGGGCTTTCAAGGCAAGATGTCTCGACGAACCCTTCAATACCCCTTTGGCGGGGTCGAGGCGACGCGCCTGACTAAAATATCAACCGTGACGAGGTTGTGAGAGAGATCGGTCAATTATTCGACCTGTACGTCACCTCTTCTTTGAAGTAGCTCGTCTTGATCAATCTCATAGGCCGATTGGACTCAAAGGATACAAACATGGAGAGAATATAGGCTGACAGCGTGATGTGCATGATCGTCGTGGAGATCCCCAACTCCGCATCCGGAGGTTCAGCCGCTGCCTCCTTAAGGAAACTGCTAGACTCGAACTAGAATGAGAGGATGCACGATAAACCATTTCTTGCGGTGCCGGTCGGTGAAGAAGCTCCCTCGAGACACAACCACGTTGGGGACGCTTGAAAGCGGACTGCCCTACCACCCGTTGCTTGTGGCTACATGGATTGTGTTACCACCCACCCGTCTAGACAGTATGTTCGTGGCGCGGCAGGCTCTCGCATCGCTGGAGAACTGGCGACGCCTTGGCCTTTCGAACAACCTTCTCGATCCTTTCGCCTCAGCCGCGGCAGACAAGGCGTCTGCCATTCCACGTTGAGCCAGAGACCGAAAGAAGAGGGCACCGAGGATATCCGCCCAAACGTCCGCCACGCTTACCAGTCACCTGCGTGGGCGGGGAGGTTCAACAGACGACGAGCATTCAACCCTCATTCCAAGCAAAAATGAGAACCTCCGGAAAGTGGAAGCAAACCAGCCGAATGCCCCTTCGCCAAGGACGACAATACACACATGCGATATTGTGCGCTGGACCAGTCACAAAAAGACGTTCGCCTTGTCGGTAAGTCCATCCAACGATAGGATGAAGCACCATAACAAGTCAATGTGGTTGGCCACTGAGGGCCCTCGCCGCCGCTCATCCAAGCTTTCCGTCGCGGAGGGGGGGGCGTTCCAATGCGTCGAACAACCCATTCCCCATACGGTAGCGTTAATACAAGGCCTCGTCAGAGTGAGCCACTGATTCCAGAGCCCCCCTCCCAGGCGTGTTACCCGACTGCAGCTGGCCCGACTCGTCGAGCCCGCGTGCTCGCATGGGGGTGGCATCGCTAGCTCGTCTACTAGCGATGCCTCTGGCTCCAAGAGCAGAGGGGAAAGGGGACTAGAAGGCTCCCGAGGGGGAGGCGTCTCGTCGACTGTCGCCAGCCCATCTCGTGGGGAACGACAGGAATGCTTGATCTCGGACTGGTATACGCCCCCTCCCCTTTTACTCTTCCTATCCCCACCGTTCTCTGTGTCTCAGCTCACGTCAGTGTTCATTCTCGATCCAGCTCCGCAGCCGGCTCACACTCACCTGCTCCCCCGGCCCATCAGGCTTTGTTCCTCCCTAGATCGAAGCTTTTGGAGCTTGTAGGACTTCCGCGCAAGGCAAGGACAAGATGGAACGCATTAACCGCTCAGCTTCGAACAGGGCCAGACACCTTTCTAGACCCAGAACCTTCGTTTTCGCAATACCAAAAAAAGGCCAAGTCGTCACGAAGCAACTCGCCTAGAGTGCCGAGCCCAGCCCGTATACTAGGGAGAAAAGCAGTCTTCCGCATCTCGTCGCGTCCCCACCTGCTCGCGCACGCCGCAAGCCACGGTCAACTTTTGACAAGGCCAAAAAGCCTGCCTGAGCCCAAGGGCCAGCTCGGACTCTCAGCAGCGAACTAACCACCTGTCCCCACCGTCAGGGGAATGCCACGATAAGCTTTGTCGGTACCTTGGAGCAGGCAGGCCATCGACGATGGACATGGCACGAAAAGCGTATTACCTAGACCTCCGCCCTGCCCGCTTTCTGTCGGGCATTTTCATGCCGGATGAAGGCAAACCCCGAAAGAGAGGGTTTTTAAATAAATAAAAAGGCTGACGACATTTGTTTTGATGAGCACAGGGACAGCGAGCCGGGAAACCAACGCTGTTTGGCCGGGCCCATTCTCATCCAGCGCTCTCACCTTCTTTGAGCCAAAGGAAGGAAGACGAGGGGAACGGGGAGGAAAAAAGCTTAGCTTCATGGTCCATTGCGCGTTTCTGCTCGTCATGTCATCCGATGTTTTGAGTATGACGCCTGCCCGCCCGTCCGCCCGCCCGCCTGCCATCCCATCCTTCCCTCTCCTCCCCTCTCACACACATACTCTCTCACTCTTTCTCTCTCTCTTCCCCTCGTCCTTTTTTACCAGTGTGAAGCACGTTCCTGCTCGCCCATCCCCACTCCACGTCAGCCCTCATCTTGTCCCCCCCCCCAACGTAATACGCCTAAAAAGGCCCTAGGGCCCGCCCCAGGCGCCATCTTCACCTCCGATGAGGCGCGATCTAACGTGCGGGCCTCATACGACTCTCGGACGCCCACCAAGGTCTGGATCGTCAAGACCTGAGGACCCATGGGGCCATGCCTCGCGGGAGTCTATGTTACGAGAGTTTGGGGCCATCTGTGTTGGGTTTGGGGGGGGGGGGCAGCGGAGACGGACAGTCTCGTACCTTTCGCCTCTCGATCTCTTTTCACTCCCGTCTCTCCCACCCCTCCCCGTCGTAGAGGCTCGCACACGGCCAAGGTGCTTTCATCGCCGATACTAGCCCGGGGAGGGGACAAAGATGGCCCGAGCTAGGTCCTCTTGCGAATAGTCCAGCAGCGGGGCCGGCGCCGGGCATATTTGGCCTTCCTTCACATGTCATTCCCGGCTCGGAGCTGCAGCCTCTGGTCCTCCTGAAGGTCCCCCGTCGTTGCCTCACGGTGAATCCAACCGGAGGAAACCGCCTTTTTCCATCCTTAACGTGCTCGGTACACGCGTGAACAGCAATTGTGATCATGTTTGCATTTTCAGCCCCGGCGCGCGCGCAACGTAATAGTACATGAGGGGGCCCTTTTTACCCGTAATAATCTTGGTATCTCACAAAGCAGTCCCGCGAACCCAACTCCACCCTACCTTGAGAGATCGATTTGTCCCACAACTCCGACCCAACCTGTTCGAGATGTCCTTCCAAATTCCGTCAGACCTATGACTCGATCTAAGCCCCGTTCTCGTGTGATACCCTCGTGCCCATCGTGACCCATCCCAACCATGTCAATAACTCCCGTCCTTTTCCAGAATCATGGTATGTGATGGGACCTTGGTTCGTAACCAGTCCTCGTGTCAGCAAAGACAAAGTCCCGTGTTGTCTCCCTTTCGCCGTGAAAGCCAGTGTGTGTGTGTTCCGTACAAGCCCTCGTAGCCTTCGTCGCAAAGGAGTTCCCCGGGAAAGCAAACCGTGACGATAGGAAAACCTTGCATGACGAAACAAAAGCGAAACCGGTGCCGGATGAACCCCCCTCTATGACCCTGATAGTCCCTTTCCCATTAGTGTGCCGTGGTATCGGTAAAATAATAATTGTTGGCTAGTCGTGTATGGCCAAGCATGCGGAGCGAATGGAATACGATGACGGGTTCCGTAGTCAAATTATAAAGAAGAAAGGGAAAAATTGGAAAGCTTCTCTGAACCCTCCGACTCAGACTTTTTCGATAATGCCCGCAATGCCTCGTCTTGCGTTCCTCCTGTGGGACGTCTACTCCACTGCGTGTGATTGCCGTGGCTCTGCTGTGGTGCGTCCCTGCTCCTGATGTTGTGATCGCGGTTTCAAACCTGAGCTGGGAGCCTGGGCCTAAGCCACGTGGGTTACAAGCACCCTTGCAATGCGTTCGTTCCGCAACCCTACAGTGGCAATGGTCGATGTCCATCGTTCGATCGGAGGCGTAACGTTGCTGTCATAGGATCGACAGCCCGTGTTTGGGGCGCTTTACTCCCGCTTGAGCGGCGGTGTTCCCTCGTCAGAGTGTTCCTGTGGAGAGCGGCGGCCGTTGTCGTTTTGGCTATCGCCATCCTTGTTACCGCAGCCCTTCACAAGCCGGTGACGCTATGGAATTTGTTAGCAATCGGTTGTCCCAATCTGAAGAGGCTGGCAGTCATGGCCGTCGTCGAGGGCTCGAGTGCATACCTTCAGCGCGTCCTTGCGGGAAAAGCTCTTGTCACAGAAGTTGCAGGGGAAAGGCTTGACAGCAAGGTGAATACGCTTGTGTCTCTTCAGGTCGTGGTTTCGGTTGAAAGACTGAGGGCACTGATCGCACTTGAAGGGCCGCTCCGTTTGAGGGTTCGGCTGTCCTGCATGGCCGTGGCCGTACATCGAGGCTCCGAGATGATGCGCTCCGTACCCGCCGGGGACGCCCATTCCAGGAACAAGTGACATCTGATGGCCGGGTGAAGTGAGGTTCGACATGATCGGCCCTCCCATCGACGGTACGTGATAGCCGGGGTAGCGGTAGGAACCAGGGGGGCCATGGCGGAAGGGTGCTGGAGAGAAGCAAGACCCCTTCCGGGGCCGTTTGAAGCCGTCGGGGAATGGGCGGTGGGCGACGTGTGTTGAAAGCTGGGAAACGGCGATTGCTGAGGAGCGGAAGACGTCGAATAGTAGCCGGGGGTCGCTGGTGGTCGGGACTGCGTGTACGAGTCAACGTGTGAAGGGACACCGCCGGGCGTAGGTGGCTGCGTCGAGACTGGGGCTTGGGATCCGAGAATCCCAGCCTGGGGCGTTGGGGGACCCTGGGAAGGCAAACTGACTGGAGTAGAGCCCGCTCCTCCTGTAGAGTAGCCCGACTGGAAGGACTGATGCTGCCCGTAGGGCGGTGCAGGAAGACCTTCGCCCCCCGTGGCGGGAGACTGCGAGGTGCGAGAGTAGGACATTGGAGACTGCTGCTCATAGGTGCTTCCGCGGGGAGCGTACTGCGGCGGTTGATTGAGGGATTGCGGGTTCCCAGAGCTGAGCTGGTAGGAGGCGGAGGGAGTCGGCCATGATCCTTGAACGCCTGACGGGTAGTAGGAACTTTGCGAGCTCGTGGTATTGACGCCGGAGGAGAGCGGGCTTAACCCTTCACCTGGCACTCCTGAAGGCGATGTTAGACCAGAGCTGGCGGTATTGGGAGAGTGTTGGGTATTTGAAGTAGCGGAGGAGGAGGATGGCGGAGCCGACGGCGTGATCATTGCCGGGGCCTGCCACGTAGATGGTGATTGAAGAGGCTGATTGTGATAATTAAAAGGGTATTGATGAAGGTGTCTACTCATACTGGGTATATCTTGGGATGATGGCAGATGGAAAGGCGGCAAAGCCTGGGTGGCTTGTCTCCGAGCCGTAAAGCTCGAAGAAGTTTCCATGGCCATGGTGGGTCGGTGTTGGTGTGATTAGGCCTTCTTGTTCGGTTCTGCCAGTCACGCTGGTGTCTCTTCTTCCTCTTGCTTTCTCTGTCTCTTTCAACAGGCACCTGGAGAGAACCGTTGTTGGGTTGAAGTCTGATAAGACCGGAACCTTGACGGCAAGAAGGTACGGAAGGATGCTGAGGTCTTTTCCTTTGGGTTGAAAGGCAGGGGCAGTGGGCGGGTCTTGAGGAAGCTGCGTCGGAGCTGAAAAAAAGCCGGGACTTCAACGCGCTGCTTAGGAATGTAGCTGAGGAAACCTCCTGACCGCTACTGGCCTTATCGACGCTCGCCAGTGACTCGCAACCACGCACAATCAGATGTCCGAATAGGTCGGAATGGAATCCCGCAGCCTTCAATGAAGAGATGGGAAACGGACGAGACGAGACGAGACAAGATGACAAGGAGGACGGTTGAAGTGTTTGTGGGTAGAAAGTAGTCAAGCTCAAGAAAGTGGTAGGTAGGTTGGTTGGCTTGATGGATGAGTGGATGGATGGATGGATGGATGGATGAATGGATGAGCAGACTGGGTAATACGGAGTAAATAGACGACAGGCCTTGTGGACGGAATCGAAAGGAGGCTTTGTGTGCAGGTTTTAAGCTATCCTGGAGCGAGATGTCGAAAGGAGTTATCGTGCGTCGATCACCTTAGGGCGCCAGTCCAGTCCGTCTGTTCCTCCAGTGTGGAGAGGCGGCTGTCGAATATATGTAGCTCGTTGATGGTGCGGGACTTGGACTTGGGGAGCTAAACCGGGATCTCCTTAGGCCACAGCCAGCCAGGCTCTAGCTCGGGAGGGCTGAAGGGGGCTTGTGAATGGGCAGTCGAACACCAAAATGCTACCGGAGGACCCTGGGCGCCTCAGCTCCAAGTACCGGGGGTGGGTTGTGTCTGACAATGAAGGGGGACTGAGGGTGAGCGAGGTACAGTCTGCCCTACGAGACGAAAGGAACAGAACCTCCCGGCCCGGCCTGTCCTCTGTTATGCTCTGTTGACAGCAGCAAGAGTTGTTGGAATGTCTGACGAGGCAATAGGGAGCGGTGGGGGGGAGAAAGAAGCAGGATGAGAGATGTGATCAAAGTCGTGCTTTTCTCTCCCGGTCAATGTCTCTCTGCGAAGCGTGTCTCTCTCCTCTTTTTTCTGTCTCTGTGCCGTCCCCGCCTGACATTCATCGAGACCCAGCCAGGACGAGTACCAAGATGCGGTAGTGTGAGGTAGCCTCAGCATTCGAGGTACCCAGCGTTCTGCTGCTGGGCCTATCCCGTACCTGGGGAGATGGGCAGCAGTGGCGTATTGACCGACCTTTGGTTTGGGACCACAGGGTCTGGGCGTTGAATGTCGAAGGCGGACTACAAGCAGGCTGCCGGGACGGTGTGTTTGAAGAAGGGGGTGGGTTGCTCAAAGGTAGCCGCTGGTCTCTGGAGATTAGAGGTTAATATTCCATTGACGGGCGACCAAGACTGAACACAGCTCTCTAGCTGGCGTGGGCCGAGTAGGTATCAGGAGTGGGTAAGGCTCCTTGCCTTGGGGAAACACACAGACGAGGAGGGTGAGGACAAGGAGGGAGGGCGCAAGATAAGATTGGCGGGCAGAAAGACAGATGCCTCTACCAAGGGGCGTGGGGCGTGGACGTAGCCCCGGGAGTCGAAGCTGGATTGGGACTGGGAGATGGGCGTGAGGGTTGGGTTTTGGAGAGGGAGTGAGAGAATTCGTGTGTTCCAGCCAGGTCTGTCATCATTCAGTTGGCCATCGCAAGAAGGAGGCTAGGGGGAGGAGAAGGGGGAGGGGGGTCGACCTGCCAGCCGGAAAAGAAACAATGAAAGAAGCAACCAGCGGCGTGTGCGGGTGAAAGAGAAGGGACGGGGGATGGCGTGCGAATAGGTCGTAGTAGGTACTGGACTGCTGGAAGAAGAGAGCAGCGACAGAGACGAGACACAGAGTCGAAGACGGAGAGACAGAGAGACAGGAAGTGAGGAAAAGTGATAGAGAGAAGGACAGGGTCGGGAAGTCGATGCTAGAGGCTGGAACCCTCAACCCTGTTAGTCTGGCTTGAACGCTCCGTTACGGCGCAGGTGAGAGTCCCCCCAAAACCGAACCGAACCACCATCCCCACGCACCAGCACCAGACACTTGGATTCCATCTCCCTTGTCCCCTGAGATTGGCTTTTCCAAGTCAAGCAACGGGACGCATGTGCTTGCTTGCTGCCATCTGCTTCTGGCCCTTGCTCCCCGTCCCGGGGACCAGAACGAGAATGGCCGTGTCGCTTCCTGGTGAGGCGACGTAACCGGGACAGCTCGGTCGACAATGAGATGCTCCAACCCTGCTTCTTCCCCCCCGAACCGTAAAGACTTGGGACGATCTGATTATTGAGATTGGCGTTGGCTGTCCGCCAATGGTACGGATGCCGCAAGTAATCGTCACGCCCGGCAGCCGAGACTGACATAGAGCCTGTAAAAATAATGCTTTTACGATTGTCCATGAACGACTGGGGCCCGCAGTGCGAAACTATGCGTGCGCATCGATTGAAGTGCGCTGTACTGTACGTGGTACCTCCATCCGGAGTTGGTGAGTCCTGATCTTGGAATCTCATAAGCTACAAGCAGCGAAAACCCTGTCCTCGGGCCTCAGCTTATTCGTACTTTGGCCGTGTTATTACATGGCCCACTCTGAGCTATTGTCTTCGGGCGCGGTCGTCCCGGAACAGTGAAGGTGCCTGCTCGGGCTGACCATTTTGCTCTTCTACATAGTACTTCGTCAAGGATGGACTCAGCCCGTATGTGGGTTGCGTCGGGTGTGCATCCTTGGGCCAATATTTGCACACCAGGGGGTGCCGACCTTGCCCGGCGCGATTGTATGTGCATGTTCTCAAGTTAGCTCAACCCCTGGCCCTGCATGAGCTCAACCCTTTTCCTTCCCTCGTCTGGACTTGAGGTCACTTGTTGGTTTGGTTCCGCACCAGCACGCCTGTGTTGTGTTGTTGCTCTTCCGCTTCCTCGAGATTCATGCAATGCGGACCGGTTTTTAACTGAACGAGAGGGCCCTGTTCCGCGTGAACCGATGACCTGGTTTCGTGTGGTGTGAAAGGCTCACTTAGCTACCTGTCTGCCGCGCGATGTCGCTGGCGGTTGATGGACAGTACCCAGTCTTAATGGGTCTTCCTACTGGCAAACATCTGAAATGACATGGTCGACAGCCGAGTTCCGCTCGGCACGGGAGAGTCTAACTACGTCCAAAGTGTCATCTGTGCTCGTGCAGATGGCTATGGACACCGGGGAACGAGGCCGTTGCGACGCGATATGAAGACTGACGCTGAAGATCGTCCGTGCGGCTGGACAACGTACGAAATGATCATCAAGGAGGATTCCCTAAAAATCGAGAATCGATACAATCTGCTCTACCCGGCACACGTTCCCTCCAAGTCTCCATCAATTTGAGGCTCGACTTGTTCCCTTTCATGGCAAACAAGGGAATGAACTTGACTGAGGCTCCCTGGATTGTGTAAGAACAACACACACTTGCCAGCACCTCTGCGTGTGATGACCCTCTCGACACGGCAGTGAGAAGAGGCAGGGGGTCATGCCGCGATGAGAGGTCATATTGCACTGCAAACACCGTTGTATGCATCCAATCCCTGGCCGACTGTCAGTCTGGTGTGGCCTGTTGGGAAGAGAGTCTGTCAGCAACCACTACTCTGAGTCCGTGTCCGTTGGTGAAGTTGTAGCCTGTGAACGATGCTCATCCCGGTTCCCAGCTCTCAGCGTGCCGGGGCCAGACCCGGGAACTGTGCAGAACCCATGCGCGCGCCGGCTTTTGTGTCAAAATATCTCAGAGCGCTCGCCAGGGCTCGGCTTGGTTGCGTACGGGGGGGGGGGGGGGACGGAGACGATACGCTACCTAGCTACGCTCCCCAAGGTCTTGATGATCCACAACTCCGTTCCGAACTGAGCTCGGACAATACTGCGCCCCAGTGCCATCTGATCTGGCGATGGCTCGTGGCCTGGCTTGACAAGCTGTCATGGACGCATATACA